CTCAACACTACGAACAATGCCAATTCCTGCACTGCTGACAGCGCCAATCTCAACACTACTGACGGCGCCAATTTCTACACTACGGACGATGCCAATCCCTGCACTGCTGACAGCGCCAATCCCTACACTACAAACTGCGCCAATCTCTACATTACTGACGGCGCCAATCTCCGCAGTACGGATGACGCCAATCCCAGCACTACAAACTGTGCCAATGTCTGCACTACTAAATGCAATTCACACATGAAATCAACATGGCTGATAAACCACAATATTCTCACATATTTTTTATATAATGGTCCAAATTGACCCGATTTTTTATGTTGGTGGTGAACAATGTCTGCACTACGGACGACGCCAATCTCTGCACCACAAACTGCACCAATCTCTACATTACTGACGGTGCCAATCTCTGCAGTACGGACAATACCAATCTCTGCACTACAAACTGCGCCATTTCCTGCACTACGGACGATGGCAATCTCTGTAATACATACTGCGCCAATCTCTACATTACTGACGGTGCCAATCTGTGCACTACGGGCGACGCCAATCTCTGCATTACAAACTGCGCCAATCTCTACATTACTGACGGCGCCGATCTGTGCACTACGGACGATACCAATCTCTGCACTACTGATGGCCAATCTCTGCACTACTGATGGCGCCAATCTCTGCACTACAAACGGCGCCAATCTCCACGCTACAAACTGCGCCAATCTCTACACTACGGACGATGCCAATCTCTGCACTACTGATGGCGCCAATCTCTGCACTACAAACTGCGCCAATCTCTACATTACTGACGGCGCCAATCTCTGCAGTACGGACAATACCAATCTCTGCACTACAAACTGCGCCATTTCCTGCACTACGGACGAAGGCAATCTCTGTACCACAAACTGCACCAATCTCTACATTACTGACGGTGCCAATCTCTGCAGTACGGACAATACCAATCTCTGCACTACAAACTGCGCCATTTCCTGCACTACGGACGACGGCAATCTCTGTAATACATACTGCGCCAATCTCTACATTACTGACGGTGCCAATCTGTGCACTACGGGCGACGCCAATCTCTGCATTACAAACTGCGCCAATCTCTACATTACTGACGGCGCCGATCTGTGCACTACGGACGATACCAATCTCTGCACTACTGATGGCCAATCTCTGCACTACTGATGGCGCCAATCTCTGCACTACAAACGGCGCCAATCTCCACGCTACAAACTGCGCCAATTTCTACACTACGGACGATGCCAATCTCTGCACTACTGATGGCGCCAATCTCT